TTCATCTCTATTTAATACTACATGATCTTTTTTATGTTTTATTATTTCTAACGATTCACGAATATTATTACCTATTACACTTTTAGGTTGAGCTAATATTACAGTATTTTTTTATTTTTTACATATCCCTTACGTTCATTTAAGCAGTATTTAAAATTATGTTTTGTCTGACCAATGTAAATATTTCCATATTCACATTCTATTTTATATATTCCAGTTTTTTTCAGTTAAATGTATTTTGTCTTTTGTAGTACCTAAGATTTGATTCATATTATTCATCGGTTTAAATATAGGTTAGAATATCTGTTGTTTTTTGAACACTTTAAATAAACTAGTAGTTAAACCTGGAACATATGGTTTTAAAGTACTAACTTGATCAATTATTATAGTATTAGTGAATTTCTTAATGGCCCTATCTATAAGATCTGGGTTAAAACCTTTTTCGACTGCTATATATATATTTAATTAATAACAATTCGTTTTTTAAATCATTTAAATCATCTTCAAAGCGCTGTTAATATAACTATAAAACGCAGACATTTTTTGTGACTTAGTATGACATGATTCCTGGTGTGGGGGCATAAGAACAGAAAGAGGTTTCCGGTAAACTGATGTTTCTAAATTACGTTGTACATTCCTTTTCACCAATACATCTAGAAAAGGCAAACTATTATTTTTCTCAATTTCAAACGTCAATTGTATGGATGGTTCAATGCTGTTCCAATAGTGAGCAAACTCTGTTAGTGCCTTATTACCATATTTCCACACCAAGAATGTGTCATCTACATACTTTATTAGGTTTACATTTTGCATTATTTATGGCTTTAGTTTCAAATACATCCATATATAAATCACATAATAATGGTGAGAGTGGTGACCTCATAGCTAAACCTTTATACACAAGTGTCAAAATACTATAATTATCTTAGACTCTCTTTAAGTACACCTGCTACCATCTGTTGAGCAATTTCTAAACATTAATGTACAAAGATTTATTTCATAAATGAAACTAAAGGTAAACACTTTTGGATTAATTATCGCAAAGTTTTATTACAATAAACGTGACCTGCTTTTTTTCAAAATCATACACTGAATTGATCTTAAAGTGTTTATCATAAATATCAATTTGTTTCGTCATCGTGTATAGAACCGAATTAAATGTTAACAAATGTCCTTCGTAAGGAGCCTATTTCGTCATTATTAAAAAAGAACCCAAAGGTAATTATACTAATTTCCGTAATTAGAAGCACTTATATACTGGAAAAATCACCAAGAACTTTAAAAGAATTAGATATTCCACACAGTAGCAGAAAAAATAATGAAATCAAACTTATATTCACACACACACAAAAAAAAAACAAAAAATGTGACATAAATTTGTTTGTTGAATTCTGCGCAAAACTACTCGAGGGCTGTCTGCGCTAACTGTCTCTAATTTAGAAGTGATAGACTAAAGGGAAGCCAGCCGATCAACTTCAGATATTGCTAACTATTGGGCTACTATTTTAGTAACGAACAGTGGGATTGACTATCACATTATCACGGCTGAAAGGACGAGTATGTTGTGTAAGAGAATTCGAACTCGTGATTAGTATGTTACGAGTCGAGTGTCCTGACCACCAGGTCCATGACGTAAAAATGGTCTTCTATCATTTTTAATGTAAATAACTTTTATTCATCTATTCTCCAATAGTTCTTGCCTTCATCAGTTAACATTAATATCACAGTTAATATAGTTTGAGACTTTTAATGAGTAAAGCCTCAGATTTTCAGAATAAAATAAGAATATGTGAAGTTAATTATCAATTAATGTTTTCATCAGTAGATGTGACGATTTTTAAATATAAACATGTATTAGCGTGGATTAAGAAGTCTAGTCATTGTTACTAACAATGATTTTTTGTTTTAGAATTTTTGCCTAAAGCTACACTAAGGGCTAACAGTATAACATATAGCAGTCCCTAGAGCAACCACCACCAACTCTTGGGATTTTCTTATATTATTGAATACACAGGTTTGATCATTACTCTTATAGCGCACCCACGATCCCAAAGTATAGAATGCATTTGTTTTTATGCGCCAACAGAATGCGAACAATGAATCCTCGAACTAACAATCCAGGGAGCGTAAATACTAAGCTACGCCCGGCCCTAATAATAATGAAAAAGTTAGGAACCCAAATCATCCTGTATGCAAAGCTGACGATCTTTAAGTCATCATTCCAACACTATTTTCATCTGACGAGAATTTATAAAAGAAAAATAAGCTAACGTTTAATTGATAAACTACAATATTGTCAATTAACGGTGTTTACAAAACGCATTAAAACGCAGATTGTAATGTGATGGTTAATCGCACTATTCGTTGGTAAGTAGTAGCACAAAAGTTGGTGGTGGATAATGTTCACTAGTTGCCTTCCCTTTAGTTTCTCACCTCTAACCTAGGGATAGCCACCTCAGATAATCCTCGAGTAACTTTGCACGAAATCCGAGAAACAAAAAAACGACGTTTTACAATTTTATAATGAGAGAAACGAAGTGTAAACTTTTTTTAAAAAGATGCCCCCCCAGTGGTACAGCGGTATGTCTGCGGACTTACAACGCTAGAATCCGGGTTTCGATACCCGTGGTGGGCAGAGCACAGATAGCCAATCGTTTAGCTTTGTGCTTAATTCCAAACAAACAATCTTTAAAATATTGAAAGCACTCAAAAAACATTATCAGAAGAAGCATTACTTATGGTTCTGGGTTAGTTTTTAGTTTAATTCTCAACAATGGACATGGATAGTTTTACCTAATCCGTCACTACTAAAACTACGATAGGTGTCAATTAATGAGATAGGACTTTACCATTTTTAGTAGAATCGTATTACTTTCAGATCATTGAAGAGCAAAATAACTTCCTGTTGTACGTTTGTGTGTTTAAGATGTGTGTATATATATATATATATAATGTAACATTTCTATCATTATAATAAGACAGTGTGTTAGAATATTTCACCAACATATCGGTATTAGCGAACCTGTTAGCCTATGGCCCGTATTTACAGGGAAATTTAATGCTTCAACCACTTTTTCAGTTTAATGATCATTGCCGCTATAATGCAAGTTTAATTTCTTTACGAATGGTAATTAGTAGACCTGCTTATTTATGTACTCTAATGTAAATCAATGTTAAGTTTGGGGTCCGCTATCGGGAAATCCCTGTAAAATGTAAAAATGTCTTCGCGAAATACCCGGGTACTCTGAACAGGTTAGGTGTAAACCTCGGGGCCGATATGATTCGTTTAGCACCAACTAGAAGTTGGTGAATCTAGTAGTTTAGGAGAAGGAGTTTCCGGGTCCCCCGAAGGTTGAGGGGGAAAGTTTTTACTTTGTACAAACC